GTAACTTCTCCAGGAGCCTCATCACTGATCCCCCCGCGATTATACAAAAGCCCTTCAGCGGGGAAACCGATATGCCGAAGCGGAGGAAATCGAGAAGGACCGCCGCAACACGGATCCTTCTCAGAAGAATGAAGGCAGGAATCGGCCCGGAGGGCCTCCCCCTCCAGCCAACCGAGAGGCACAGTACAACGATCGCTCCCGAGGTGGCCAAGCCAGACCCGGGGCGGTTTCAAGAACAATCCGAAGGCATGGGCGCAACCCGTCCTCCTGGAGCACCCACGCACTCCCCTGACGCACCCCGTCAGCGTCATTTTGGATCACGCAGAAGAGCGAGGGCTCGTGGAGCGAGACTCCCGTACACCCCTCGAGATTTATGCCATCGGCCCTGATGAGCCCTATTGCCGCTTCCACCGCCACCATGGGCACAAGACTGACGACTGCCATCAGCTGAAAACCGCCATTGAGAGGCTGATACAGGCGGGCCACTTGTCTCAATTTATCAGGGGCCCTCCTCCCCAGGGTCCCCCTCATCATCAAGGACCGCCGCCGAAGGCAAACAAGTGGGTAAACCCCAACACCATCCCTTTGGGAAACCCACAGGGGAAGAAGCGTGAAATTGGGGGCCTGGATGACGAGGGAGAGGGCTCCCATCAGCAATACAAACGCCACATTCACATGATTAATGGTGGCAACACTGGTGGAGATTCCACCAGCCAACGAAAGAAATGGGCACAATCCCTCTACATTGGGGAGGTCAACCACATGCCCCCAAGTAAAAGGCCGAGGGGGGAGCCCATCTTCTTCACAGATGCGGACCTCCCCTCGGGCTCCCTGCCTCATAGGGATGCCCTCGTCATCCGCACAGAGATCAATGACGCCTAGAAACGATCAACGAACCGATGGTTAATCGTTGATGGTTTCACGAGTAAGTAACTTCGGTTTATTAATGCACGGTCGTGGTTAATAAACTTAAGAGGGATTAATTTTGTTGGTTAAACCGAAACCGTTGTGTTGAGGTTATTAATCTTAATTGATTTCATCAAGGAGTTAAGAGATTAAATGCTACTCCCTCCGTCCCTAATAACTTTGCCAAGTTTGACCGGCACGGGGATTAATAAAGTAAAAACTGTGTGGTTGAGGTTTGTGCAAAGGAGAGAGAATTAACTGGAACCACAAATTCTTTACTTAAATGGGAAAGTGGCAAAGTTAATGGGACATCCAAAAAAGGAAAGTTGGCAAAGTTACAAGGGACGGAGGGAGTACTATTAAATCGGTATACAACGTTGTTCTATATTTGATTAATAGTAAGGGTTATTAATGAATGGTCGTTGTTAATAACTACCCTCGATGAATTGGAGATGCTCCTCGATTGAGTATTCGAGAGGGGATAAGTTATAGATATAACAATGATCGACTAAAATATATCAACAAGTGGAAAGTAGCAAGACCAAGTCTTTTTTATTCTTGAATTAAATCTCATATAAGTCGTTCATTTTCGTGTTTAATTTAATTAAATCACTCAATTCCAAACCCCCCCTTTTATTTACTTGTTCCATTAAAAAGATAATTATTTCTTTCCATGTGGATACAAACTCTACTTCAATATACTTCGTATTAGTGCTAGTATTGAATTTATTTTGACGCACCGTGACAAAGTGCTCGTCACATACCATACCGAAAATATTGGTATACCTAAATCTTCGCTAAATTCGATAAAAGCGGTATACCGAAATTTTGGTATTTTTCTTCGGCCCTAGTGAGAATAGTCTTTCTTTCTTTCTTTCTTTCTTTCTTCATCATTTTTGTTCTTCTTTTCTTTCCTTCTCTCTTTTTCTTTCCTTTTGCCCTTTATTTGCGATCATCTTCCATCATATCTTCACTGTCATCTTCCATCACCATCTTCACCATCATCTTCCATCAACTAAATTGCCGTTTGAGAATAATCGGAAATTCTCCAGAAAGTCACCAAAAATTAGAGCCACCACAATTTTTCTTTGTATGATGTATAAATATTATCTCTATCGTGTTAAATAATGATAAACATTGTCTACACTGAAAGATGAAACTGAAAAATTAGTAATGTTCTAAAAAAATCGTCATAGAAAAAATGTACGTATAGACACTGATTTTCTTTCAGTGTCCGTATATACAAACAAAAAAGGTTATAAAAAGTTAGGGTTAGGTTGCACCGAAACAAAAGTCTGTGTGCACAGACATAAATTGTTTATATAAACACTTTTTTTTGTCTACACACAAGTAACAACTAACATTTGTGTACACACACATTGATTCTCGTGCAACCACTCTGACATTTGTGTAAAAAAGTACGCGAGTCAATGTGATTTACATGCAAACCAATGTCCGTGTACACATACATAAGTTGTCTGTGTATAGTATACACATACAACTTAACTCTGATATTAATTATCTGTACAGACATAAAGTGTCTATACCCATAATATTTTGTGTCTGCATTTTTTACATTTTTGTCCGTGTGAAGGACAAATAAATAGAGTGTAGTTCAAGGTGTACACCAAGCACTAGTCATCTTATACGGAGTATCTATTTTGATATACATTTAAATAGTTAATATTACTAAAAAGGGAAATTTGTAAAATTAGTCCCGTAACTTTTGACCATACCCGATATTAGTCCTCTAACTTCATTTACTTGCATAATACGTCCTCTAACTAACATATTTGTCCAATTTCAGGACATTTACACAGGAGAGTAATACTTCCATCGGAAATTAACACATTAGCGTCACTTGTTCAGTTTTTGTTCCAAATAGCGAGCTGACTTGGACTTGAGCCATGTTTATGGTTCCCTCCAAACACTCTTTATTTTAAAAATACCACACGTCCGCACACTTCATACAAAACCCTAACTACTTCAACATCTCTGCTACTTCAAACATGGAGAAATCCCAAATTGGTTCATAAAACATTAAAAATTGCTAGATTAAAGTGAAAATTAGATTATACCTTTTCCATGTATTGCTAAGAAATCCCAAATACGAAAAATGTAAAAATCAACATAAAGAAAACACTGCACTACAGCCTAATTCTTTTAAACATTTTCAACACTTTTCAACTTTAAAAGCTTCCATTTGTAACCATAAAAATGTTCCAGGTAATACTAATTTTTTAACATTTCCATTCAGTGGCGGATCTAGCATTTACAATTTAGGTGTTCAAAATTATTTTAAAATTTAGAATTAAGAATCACGATTATCTCATTTGGGTTTTAATGTCAAATCAAAATATGGTTGATTATCGATTATATATATTTGAAAACCTTTTCAAATACACATTACCCATACGAAGTATTGATTTATAAAAACTCACAAACAAATTAACAAAAAACCTTATACCCTATACCCCAACTAACAGCAACAGATAAATTAAACAAAAACTTAAGAAAATGTTGAGTAAAACATCAATAAATTGAATAAAATGTTTAGCAAAAGTATACTACCGACAGTGAAACCATTCAATTTGGATAGGGAAAATGGAAACTAATAATCCAACCTTTTAGCGATCTTCTTATAATAGTCCCACCTTTTCGTTATTCAAGAATAATCCAACCTTTGCACCCCATCTTCATTCGTTGGTCTCTGATCGATTAATGACCTGCTATTCCAAGTTATTTTCTTATCTTTGCAGAATATTATCTTTGTAAAAGGTGAGATTTATGGTATAATGATTTGCAAAGATAATAAAATAACTTGGAATAGGAGGTCATCAACCGATCAGGGACCAGTGAATGAAGATGAGGTGCAAAGGTTGGATTATTCATGAATAACGAAAATGTGGGACTATCGTAAGAAGACCGCTAAAAGGTTGGATTATTAGTTTCCATTTTCCCATTTGTATAAAAGCTAGTCAATCCACTAAACCTAATAAACATCTTCATTATTTTCAAGGCAAGTAATGGGGATTTTGTATTATATATTTACAAAAATTAGATCCTAATTTGTTGATGTAGAAGACTATTATTGTACGTCTTCACCAAAGTCTGAAGGAGTCAGCACTCTCTACAAGCGGCTAGGTAGCTCTTTTTTCCCTCTGAAACACAGGAATGGTTTACAAAATCTAAGGCGGTTTGATTTTTTTTTTTTATAAAAAATAAAGGGTCTTATAATTTTGGTTAAAAAAAATTGAAGTTTTTGGGTGTTCATGTGAACACTCTTGAACACTACTAACAACACAGATTCTTTTCTTTGATATCAAAGTAATACTACATGTAAAATCTTTAATTTTTTTTCAAGCAAAAGTCGAAACCTACAAAATTGAAAAGTTTAGAGCTCTTACTCATGGAACACACATGGAAGCTCCTTCTTGGGTTGTCATCGGTCCATGAAATTAAAACAACGACCTTCTTATTACTACAATAACATCCCATAGATCCTTGCCTGAGAGCCATTATTTGCAAGTTAGAAGAACACACACTCACCTTCCTTCAATATGTGGAGAAGGCGGACCAACGGTTACACTCACCTTACGTTTTGTGCTTTTCTTACTGTACTGGGGTGGTTGGGAGAGCATTGGAAAGTGTTTGGGAGTGAGCCGTAGAAAGGGGCTCAAATCCAAGTCGGCAATAAGTTTAAAAAATATTACAACAGATGGAGATGACATGTAATTTTCCGGCCAAACTTCAACTTTCCGTCGCCAATGTCCTAAAACTGAACAAATATATTAGTTGGAGGATGTATTTTGCAAGTATGTGAAGTTATAGGACCAATATCAGTTACAGGCAAAAGTTACAGGATCGATTTAACAAATTTCCCTACTAAAAAATGATATCTAAAAGCCGTCTGTTAACATTGATTAGAAGTAATTTGTTCGCTTGAGGAGAGTTTTTTCTTTTTTTTTGAAGATCGCTTGAGGAGAGTTAGTAGGTGGGTGTTGGTGAGATGAACTTTTATTTCAATATAATATAAATTATAAACTTTCTTGTTTTAAAAAACACTGATTAGAAATAATTTGTACTACTATTATTTAGAGTTTTTTTTTTTACATTTAAAAGTTTATTAAAGTGACGAATATGCCACATAATGTCCACATTGATACTGCTCGCATGAGTTGTTCATTATAGGTGCGGTGTAACTCAATCCACGCAGCCGCCGGCTTTCAACTTCTCTATATTTTTTCATTCAATCGTTTCTTCTCTCAAACGCCATTTCTGGACTTCCTTTAAATCTCCTTTCTTCGCCTTCTATAGGGTTCTACCATGGTCACCTGGATTTGAAATCTTTGTTTTACTCTCAGCCTCGGTCGGTCGGTCGGTGATGCTTGGCGTACTCTGTGCACGTCCCAAGCCATGGATTTTGGCGGCGCTCTCGTTGTTTCATGCTCATGGATCGACGGCGGTGCATAATCGGCTTGCCGGCAGTCCAATCCGGTCAGTTCTCGTCAACGGCGATGATCATCGGCGGTTTCACCACTCCACCGCTTGCCGATTCAGCAGCGTCAATGCTAGGCAGGGCGGCGCCGCGTCCATATGGCACGCGATTCTGCCCGCTCGCCGCGGCCGGAAGAGTGTCTCGAGTAGGTCTGCGGTTTTTCACCGTCACAACTGTGAGCTGACGAAGAAGGGAGGCGAAGGTTCGTGGAATGCGGCGTGGGATGCGAGGCCGGCGCGGTGGCTGCAGAATCCCAACTCCGCCTGGCTCCTCTTTGGCGTCTGCCCCTGCTTAGCGGCGCCTCCGCCCTTTCTCGATCTTCCCGAGGCTAATTCCGAGGCCACCATTTCTCCAGAAGGCCAAGTCGGTGTCCTGAACTCCGATTCATCCGCCCACACTCCTTCCAATTACACAGTCACAGGTCTATAAACACCACCAACCATATTTACATTTTTTTTAACATTGGTTTTATTTAATATTCAGGCTAATCACAGTTGTTAGGGATTTGGTTATGCATTACAGAGTTTTCTTTTCTACTTTTTATTAATTAGCTAAAACATCAAAGCATATTCTTCATAACATTCCAAAAACAGATAACTCATCACCTCTTTAATCTTTCAATAATTGAATGATATTTGGAAATGACATATAATATGGAGTAGTATATCTATCTGTAATACTTAAACATGATCCCTCAGAGTTATGTTTAACAATTTCCTTTTTAAAAATTAAAACAGCACTAATTGAAATTAGGGTGTAAACATTGCAGGAGTTCCAGCAGATGGTAGATGCTTATTCAGAGCCATAGCACATTTGGCTTGCTTAAGGAATGGGGAGGAAGCTCCTGACGAGAATCGACAGAGGGATTTGGCTGATGAATTAAGAGCTAATGTATGTCATAAGCTATATTACCCAATTTTTTGAATGAAACTTCATCTTTTTATTTATTCATATAATTACTAGTGTTGATGAAGGAATTTCTGCAGGTTGTTAATGAGCTGCTGCAAAGACGCGAAGAAGCTGAATGGTATTTTAGTCAATGTCCTTTTGACAGACCCCATATTTATGCTTTTAGCTAATTATTACCTAACAACACTATCTTGGTTGACAATTTAAACAGTAGTCCTTACCCAAAGTTAGGAAAATGCATGAAAACATCAATTCAACATTTATTTCATTTTTATTAAGAAAATGTAGTGTAACTTAGATTGTTTTGACAGTTCAACAATTTCATCCGTTTTGCTACAAACTCTTCCATTCTAGCCAAATTTACTCTTTCTGAACAGGCTATAAGTTTGCAAGCTTATTTACGACTGGAGATTAGATTTGCTATAAAGGGATCTTTTTTCATAATTATGCATTGTATTTTTCATTGTTAGCTTCATAGAAGGAGACTTTGATGCATATGTTAAAACAATTGAGAAGCCATATGCATGGGGTGGTGAACCAGAGCTGCGGATGGCTTCTCATGTCCTCAAGTAAGTTTATTCCTTTTCCCGTTTTCAGTTTTCAACTTTTCATATGTTTTCCCACTTCTGTAGCACTAGTTTGATTATTGTTAAAATAAATGCATCAATTCATATCTAACAGGTGTTGAAACACCTTGAAGCTCATCAAATTAGTTTTGATCTGGCATGTATTTTCACTTATTGCTATTTACCATATATAATGCACCCTTCAATAGAAATGAAATAATGATTGAAGGACTTAGATTTAATATTCTATGAAGATCTGGAGTGAAAGTATAGAAGCTTAATTATCACACTAAGCACAACCCTTCACATTCTGGATTTTAAATAAGGGGCTTTAACAACAAGAAATCATCTATCGCAAGTAGACATTTGATTATCGCACTTGACAACTGTTTTTATTTTTCAAACAACTGTTTTTAATTTTCAAAATAAAGAAAAGAGATTACTAAGTTAAGTACTCCGTAATAGATAAAAATATGACTAACTTAAGTAATAGACAAAAAATATGATATATTATGCAGAATGATATACAGTATGTGTTTTGTTTTACATTGTCTGTGGTTATCATGTGCTAATATTTTGCTCTTAATTTCTAATTTAGTACAGTAATATAATACTATGAAAAAACCTTTATCTTTTTAATTGTTTGTGTCTTGAATTAGTTGTGCATTCATGTAATGGTAAAGGATGAGCGAACATAATTACATAATGTGTAGGTTATTTTACATTGCAAACTAATGATAATCTTGTTTTGACTGGATGCTTGTAGGACACCAATTTCCGTTTTCATGGTAGATAGAATCTCGGAGAAGTTGATAAACATTTCAAACTATGGTGAAGAATATGCTAAGGATGGAGAAAATTCCATCACTGTTTTGTTTCATGGTTATGGTCACTATGACATATTGGAGATCAAGCCAGAGCTGTAAGGTAGAATCAAAGGGGGTGCAGCGACATAGTACAGATTTTTTTATTGATTGCATAAAGAGGTCGGTAAAGATTAAAATATGGGTTTAAAGTATACATCCAAGAAGAAAAAACATAAGTTCTTTTCCTAGTCGGTTGATGATCATCTTGTTTGTGGCTTTATTGATTTATTGTATTGACATTTTTTTAAAGGTAGGGCTGTGACAATTTTGTAGATTTGGCCATCTGTTTCTAGTTGGCAGTTGGAAAATTTGAACTTGTAGATGTTAATAAAGCATCCCCTTCTCTGGTATCACCTTTGAATGCCAAGTTTTTAGTATGAAAGGTTGTCTTGAAATTTTTGTGTTGAATGGGAAGTGAAATAGGGAGTATGGTATATATAAAATGAGAAATGCTAGAGGTACCACATTTTCTACCCCATTTTGTACTTCATCCTATATTTGTGGCTCACAAAAATCCAACCCAATTAAAATAATTGCTCCATTTTTACTCATTGCTTTTGTGAACCACAAACATAGGAGGGGTAGAAAATGAGGTACAAAATGGGGTGGCTTTAGGGTCTGTTTTCTTGCAATAGCTTCTGCTTTTAAAAAAGTGCTTTTTTTATGAAATGAGGAGGAGTGATTAAATAAAAGTTGATAGTGTTTGAGAAAAAAATGATTTTGGAAAGTAAAAGTGGGTAGTGTTTGGTAAAATAAGTGTTTTTTGTGTAATAGAAAAAATAAAAGCACTTTTGACGCGGAAGCTGAGAAAAATAAAAGTTGTAGTGTTTGGAAAAATAAGTGCTTTTTAAAGTCAAAAGCTGAGAAGTGCTTTTTTAAAAGCAGTTTCAAACCAACCCTTAGCGTTAGTGATATAGAAGATCGGTATGGTGAATCTAGAGTTATTACAGAATGTGTCAATTTGTTTTTCCAAATCAAGTATCAATATGTCAGTTGATTTGTAGATCTATGGGGTCCTACATTCATAAACTGATATTTTGCCATTACCCCAAAGCCGAGAATTCTACTTGGTCAAAGGGAACATAGGGCCAGTACTAGGGATGGACTGGGCCGGGCCGAACCGGCCCGGAACCGGACCGGCCCGCTACTGTGCGGGCCCGGACCGGACCGGGCCCGGTTGGCCGGTTCCGGGCTTTTAGCCCGTTTTGGCGGGTCGGGCGGGCCGGTTCCGGGCCCTGTTTTTGTTGAACCGGCCCGGGCGGTTCGGGCCGGGCCCGGTTCATTTTTTTTTTTTTTTTGGTTTTTTCAATTTTTTTTCTTTTCCTAGGGTAGGGCTGGGTGTTTTAGGGAGGTTTGGGGCGTGGGGGTGAGGGGGGGGGTAGGGAGATAACAAGAAAGTCATAAAAAAAAAAAAAAAAAAAAAAAACATTGAACCGGGCCCGGCCCGGCCCGGCCCGGTTAGGCCCGGACCCGGTATCAACCCGGGCCGGTTCCGGGCCCATGTAACCCGAAAAAAAGCCCGCCCGGGCCCGGCCCGGAACCGGAACCGGCCCGGCCCGGGTCCATCCCTAGCCAGTACCAAACAAACTTATGAAGACAATGTTTTAATGGCAAAAAAGTTATAGTACGCAAATATTTGATGTTTGGTGCTTCTGTTTTTTGTGTAATAATAAGAAAAAAGAATTTTCGGGTTGTATTGGTGAAGTTATCGTAGATTTTTAGTTATTTTTCCATATAATTTTTTCTTTATATTATTAATAAAATATATTTTAAATATTTTTGTCATAAATCAGCAGAATCAGTCAATATAACCATTTCAGCTAGAAGTTTATAAATTTCATCAGAATCAACCGATTCGGCCGATTTCAGTATTACAAAATGGGTTCTAAATCATAAGTCTCCACATTTACCTCTGTCCTTTATAAATTTTTGCAAAGTTCTACCATTACTTTTTAGTGGAATGTACAAGACGAGAGGAATTTTTTTCACTATGACACGATGACTTACCAAATTAGAAGTATATAGACTAGTTGTGTGTCGTATGTTGGTCGATAGGGTAATGTTTATTATTGTTTATGTAAACTTAAGCATTATGTTTACTTTGTTTGGTTCATTTCTTACTTTAAAAATGGACACTTACTGTGTTAGTGTCGAGGTTGCACCTAATGTCCTAAACTCCTAATGGAATGAATTGTGGACGCTTAACTTTGAATAGATTGCCTAACACCAATTAGAGAATCAAAAGGACATTCTTGGTGTACTCTTTTGAAGATTCTAGCTTGTATGCATAGACAATAGCCGATTTTTTCTGAACAATCTGATTGTGTAGACAACTAGGAGGTTGTGTACTCAAAGCACTTTTGTGACCTCTAGTCTATGTTGCACGGAAACGCGAAAATCGTGAGGAAACTGGAAACATGAAATGTCAACTTTTACTTAAAAAAGCTTGTTTGGCGAGTTTCCAAATAGTTTCCGTAGAGTTTCTGAAACAAAAACGTACTCTTTCTCGAGAGTTTCTGTGTTACGTAGCCTCTAGTTTTTTTCTAAAACAAAGAACACGTAAATTCCCAGTGATGGTTCCTACTTCCTACAAATACTCCGGAGTTTCTTGCTTTCCATGTTGTATATGGGCTAAAAACATTATTTCTGAAAGCAATGGTGTCATAATATTTCTATATGTGGACGGCGTGAGAACATCTGATACGTTATACGTATGGATGGACCCGGGCCGGTTCGGGCCCGGTTCGGGCCTAGGCCCGGCCGGGCCTCGGGTCTGTTTTGTTGGGCCCGAGCCCGAACCGGTGGCCACCGGTTCCGGGTCCGGTTCCGGGCCGGGCCGGGCCACCCGGTTTAATTTTTTTTTTTCCTTTCTTCCCCCACCCCCCCCACCCCCCACCCCCCCAAACCGGCCTAAACAGATAGCCCAAGCCCAACAGCCCAAAACAAATGAAAAAAATTAAAAAAAAAATAGATTTGGCCCGGACCCGGGCCCGAACCGGCCGGGCCGGGCCGTCAAAACCATGAACCGAGCCCGGAACCGCCCCACCCCCGGGCCTCCGGCCCGAACCGGACCCGGACCCGGATAACCGGGCCGGGCCCGCACAGTAGCGGGTCGGGCCGGTCCCGGGCCGGGCGGCCCGAACCGAGGCCATGCCTAGTTATACGTACTAATTTTAGAGAAGTGGAAGGAACAAAACCTTTCCTTTGTTCAAACCTCCTCATGAAGGATATGACTGAAACTGTGAAAGTGTAACAATATCATCGATCATCATAGCACAATCTCATTACTCCGTAATTTGTAATTTCAAGCATTAATTCTAATTGAACTTTATTTCTGTATTTAAACTTCTGTCTCCATCTATCTCAAAATGATTTGTAAAGTTTTTTTCCTTAATTCAATATAGTGTAGTTTCATTTAGGTGATTACTCCCGTCATGCCGTCAGGTCGGTGTTGGGGCGTTCTCAGGTATGAGGTGTCATCTTTTTTTTTTTTTTTTTTTTCATTTAGGTGATTACGATACCAGATTGTACGTAGTAGTATATTCTAATTTGGATGTTGTGTTTTTGTAGAGCATTCATTGTAATGTTTGAAAACTTAAATTTTAAGTATTAAATTTGATTTAACTATCTTTGAGAGGATTTAATTTTTATCACTAATGACTAGTCACCTTTAAAAATCATAAAGTACAAATAAATTTGAGATGGAGAAGTAATATTTTAGTTTTGGACAAGATCAAGAGCTAAAAACTGATAATATTAAGAGATTTTCTTAAAATACTAATGAAATGAAACTAAAGTTATGGAAATATTAAGAGATTTTCTTAATATCAAGAGCTAAAAATCGAAATAATGCTAATTAAATAAATAATTCCCAAAATACTGCTGGGTAAAAAATAATACCCAAAATACTGCCGAGTTAACCGTGGTTAAGGAAAGCCGCCACTTGAAGTGACGGCTCTACTCTTACAGCACATTTTGTACATATATAAAATGCAGTATGTTTCAACAATGTTTTTAACTATCTTCCCGATTGAATTTTGAGCTGAAATTTGGTATGAATAAACTAGACTTGATGAGGAACATGCTCAAAAAAATTCATTAAAAAAATCAGCGGGAAAACCCTCTGATGGTGTTGTCCGCACAAGGGTTCCGGTCAGGACGTCGCGACAGGAATGTGACATTTTTATGAAATTTGAGTTGCTTCTGAGTCGAATTTTTTGATAAAATTTGGTGATCGTGTTCTTCCTTAAGTGTAGGTGATGCTCACCGAATTTTAGATTAAATTTGAATCAAGAAGTTACTTAAATAATTTATTGAAAAAAATGCATTTTTAGACCTAAATAATTATACGATTTTTAAAAATTTATCTAACTACGGTAAGAATTGTACTGTAAGAGAAGAGCCACCACTTCAAGTGCCGGCTTTCCTTAACCACGGTTAAACCGGCAATATTTTGGGAATTATTTTTAACCTAATAGTATTTTGGAAATTATTTATTTAATTAACATTAAATCGGGAAAAAAGTCACTTATTATGAGTGCAACACAATATTCACAAGAACAAAACGTACGGAGCAAGACTTTTTTGTTCGGGACTTCGGGTAACACAATTTTTACTTCCTCTATCCCTAAATATATGAATTTAGAAGCTGTTCCGTTCACCTGATCTGAATGTTTCTGATCTGAATTTTTTAAGTTCTGATCTGATCTGATCTGAATTTTTCTGATCTGATCTGATCTGATCTGAATCTTTCTGATCTGATCTGATCTGATCTGAATCTTTCTGATCTGATCTGAATCTTTCTGATCTGATCTGAATGTTGCTGAACTGATCTGAATGTTGCTGATCTGATCTGATCTGATCTGAATGTTTCTGATCTGATCTGAATGTTTCTGATCTGATCTGAATTCTTCTGATCTGAATCTTTCTGATCTGATTTGAATATTTCTATAATTGTAATTGTAATTACAATTATAACTATTAGATTTATAATTGTAATTAAAAATATAACTTAAATAAAATTACAATTATAATCATAATTATAAAAAAATAATAATTAAAATTAAATTTAAAATTATAATAATTATACCAATTACAGTAATTATAAATACAGATACAATTATAAATGTAATTATATTTTTAATTATGATTAATTTTATAATTATTATTATTATAATTATAATATTTATTTCTATATTCATAATTATGTCTATAATTACTAATTTAAATATATAATTACTCCGAAGTAATAATAATTACAACAATAACAACAATCATATTAATAATAATGATGATTATAATTATAATTACATTGTAAATCATAATTATAATTATAAATATATTATATTATATTATATTATATTATATTATATTATATTATATTATATTATATTATATTATATTATATTATATTATATTATATTATATTATATTATATTATATTATATTATATTATATTATATTATATTATATTATATTATATTATATTATATTATATTATATTATATTATATTATATTATATTATATTATATTATATTATATTATATTATATTATATTATATTATATTATATTATATTATATTATATTATATTATATTATATTATTATAATATAATAATAATTTTATATTATTAACATTATTATTATATTATTATTAATAATAATATTATATTAATATATTAATATTATTAACAATAACTATAATATAATAATCATAATTAATATAATAATAAAAGTGATAAATCATGTTTGAATTTTTTGACCTGATCTGATCTGAATGTTTCTGATCTGATCTGAATGTTTCTGATCTGGTCTGATCTGGTCTGAATCTTTCTGATCTGATCTGAATGTTGCTGATCTGATCTGAATCTTTCTGATCTGATCTGAATGTTTCTGATCTGATCTGATCTGATCTGAATCTTTCTGATCTGATCTGATTTGATCTGAATCTTTCTGATCTGATCTGATCTGAATAAAATAAGATTAAGGAATAAGTAATAAGATTAAGACGAACGGAACAGCTTCTTAGTTAGTTTTACTTTTCTGTTGTCTCAAAAGTAAACATATTTTTAATTAGATTGTATGTATTGGTTTGCTTTGATCTGATTTATTTATGTATAATTTAATTTGGTAAATGTGTGTTTTATATGTACTTTTATATGTACTTTGTAATTATCGATGTCTCGTCTAGTCTAATCTAGTATCGTCTGATTTAATTCGATTTTGTTTGTTTTGGTTTGAGAATGAAACAAGTCCAATTAAATACAGTCATAATTTCAATTTTTTTTATATTATTCATTCTGATTTTAAATAAATCTTAATCAGAAAACTTTATTTTGGGAAACTGACAAATAAGTTCACGTATTGTTTCATTAATCAATTAAGTGTACCAAGTGTGCGAAAAATGACCGAATTTACCTTTTCTCTGATATGTGACGCATTTCCATGTTAATCGGCCTATATGGATTATGGATTATTCACGCAACTTTTCCCTGTAAGCGTTGATTTGGTCGTCCACGTGACATTAGATTTGCCTTCTCTCTGTTTTTTTTCAAAAAATTTCTTTGCCTCATTTTTCATTCTGTCGTTTCATCTTTCTGCCGCCACTGAGTTCTGCCCCTGCCGTCTATGGCAGCTTTGCTGCCCCATGTGTGACGAGCTCCGCAACCGCAGTCACCGCAGACCTCTGCCACACCATCATGGTCGAGCTTTGCCGCCATAGTCACTTTCTTCATTGTCGTTAGCTTGCCATTGAGGAAGCGTGACACAAGGGTTACTTGAACAATCAGGTTCAAATCCTTTCAAGTTTCAAGACAGAAATGGGAAAAGGGAAAAGGGAAAAGAAAGGGAAAAGAAAAGGAAAAAAGGAAAGAAAATAGTATTAAAAAATCCGAATGGCATGATATCATCCATGTGAGCGACACACAAATGGTTCACCGGTTAAATGAAAAATGAAATATGCTTGGTGTACACTTTTTGGTGTACACCTTTTGTACACTCGCTGTCTCACACACATAGAGAGTGTACAGCTCTATGTGTGTGAGACAGCGAGTGTACGAAAATTGTACACAAAAAAGTGTACACCAAACACAACTCATGAAAAATGATAAAAATATGAGATTTTGTACACTTAATTTATTGACCAAACACTTACATGCAATTGACTTTCTTGAAACAGTACATGAACTTATTTGTTGTCCTTTTTATTTTCAATACGGAGTATATACTTTTAAATATCTAAAAGGTCTAGGAATTGAATGCGGAATTGTAAAACTCTAGATGCATTCCAACTTTCATTCACTTTTATAGACTTTTAAAACCACTAATTTTCGTGGACATTTAACTCATTCTTAAATTTAATACATTAATTTTCTACAATTGTCTCTTCTTTTCACAAAAGATTTTCATAGACTTTTTCTTTTATATTCTACTCGTCACAATTTGCCCGATATTAAAAACCAGTTAATCGGTCCTGGACTAGTACGAGGTTGGGAGGTGGATATCAGGTGGTCTTAGCATGATATATATGAAAGATTTGAAAAGTAAATTCTAATATTTCATCACTTTACAATAAATAAATTGATTAAAGAGATTTTACATCAATACCGATACAAAAGATAGATTAAAAAAAATTTAAAAAGTGATTTTTTGTATATCATCTTATGAAGAAAAATGTAGGGGTGGGAACAGTTCAGTTCTTGAAAGAAAATTAAGAATCGATATAAGAATCGAAAGTATCATATCAGTGTAACTCTGGTATGTTGTCAATTAACCATTACAACATAAAAATATATTTAATCATTACTATGTTTCACCGTTAAACTACTAACACATAAAAATATAATTTCAAACACATATATATTTAACCATAAATAAGTAAACAAATTTCAATAAGATAAAAATGAAAAGAAAACAATAGAATTCAAGGATTTATGCAAATAAAATTCTGGTTTCCGGTGACGGCGGTCTGAATTTAAAAGTCAATGGATTAAATTTAGGGGTAATTTGATTTTGCATCCCATTTTATTGTCCAAATTGAACTTTGCACCCCATTTTTAAAAGACTTTATTTCTGCACCCCAATCTCGTATGAAGAGACAAAGATGCCCTCCATTAACAATTCTATTGGTCTTCAACATATTCTTGATCGAGGGACATTTTTGTCTTTTCATACCAGGTTGGGGTGCAAAACAAAGTTTTTTTAAAACGGAGTGCAAAGTCCAATTTCGACAATAAAATTGGAAGCAAATTCAAATTACCCCTCAAATTAAATCTAAAATGCATATAAATTTATCCATTCATAAAAAGTATATAAATTTAAATGTTCATGAATTAAAAAATCACCACAATCCATATATAATAAAACCGTGAAAAGTTAGAATGGGAAATATATATGGTCATAAAAGAATGGGAAGAATATAATACGCAACTTCTTTAGTAAGGCTTATATATAGAGTTAATATATGTCCAATAATCACCATTCACCAACTCTTTAATTGTTTTTTTTTTTTTTTTTACTTTTTATCCAAAGAGATTGAAACTCTATCAAAGTTAACAATTGTACCTTCTTTACAAATTTTTATTATCCGTATCAAGATGAATACTTTAATTGTCGTCTTTATTTCATTAGATTATATTTTGTCAATTATAGAGTATTTCTTTAATGTCTCTTCATGTTTTAAAGAACTTAAACCAAATACTGATTTTAATCTTAGATAATAAACAAAATATCTAAGATTTGTTTGTGTTTTTCTGTTAGGAGCTAGGGTCCGGGTCCATTCGAAGGTCCATGCCAAGGTTGGTGGTAAAGAAACTAGATCAATTACTATTAGCTTACAATTGCATGTGATGTGATTAGCGGATCATATTGCTAGTGAACGTGTCATAGTTATTTGTATATTTAGAAGTTCTCATGTTCATAGTCATTTAATACGGAGTATTAGCATTTTGCAATAAAAAAATTTAAAAATAAGCCTCAACATTGCCAAAAAGAATAGCCTCAACATTGCCAAAAAGAATAGCCTCAACATTGCCAAAAAAATAAGCCTCAACTGTAAACTTCATTATAATTGAAGATACAATAAGCTAATAAAACTGCAACCCAACTCCATATATAAAAGAATTTCTATGAAGTTGAAGCTGACTATTGATTCAGGCAACCACCAAAAACCATAGTTTGTGAAGTGCTGGAAATGGAATTCTTAATACTTTTAATGGCTTCAACACTACGGACATCATAAGCCGGACCATCAATAACCTGTAACAATCATTAAAACAGTGAAAAAAAACTCTTATGAAAACCATACACAGGTGAAAGAAAAGATTCTTGAATCTGGAGTGAAATGTATACGGTACCAGAAAAGAAACCCCGGATAAGTCAATAGCATTAAGCGAGATGAGCTCTGTGAGTCTCTCAGGGGTGGAGATAATAAACTCCGGTTCACATGTCTTCAGGCTGCCATTATCAAAATCCAAAAGCAAGTGTCAGTGAGTAATCAAGAAAATCTGACTGAAGTACAAAATATTGTCAAAACTCAAAACTAACATTTCAAAAATAAATATAATGAAAAAACTAGTTAATCATCAATCAACGGTTGTGTAATTATGTAAATACATGCGGTGAGAATCAAACAGATTAAGGGAATAGTTTTAAGGAAGCTTTTAAGATGCTAGGATCTATGCAGCTATATACCATCAAGGGTTAACCTAATAATAGGAGTAATACAAAATCTTATATGGGAGTATGAATTTGTATCTTTATACTTTATCGGTGTAGATGGCATAACACATACAAACAACAAAAAAGGACATGGAAAGGGGTAGCTTTCACTAACTCATTAATTTGATGGTCTATGGAAGTGCCTGGATGTAGGCAGACTGTATATGTTCCACATGCTTTCAAAGGATTGCAGACCTTGAGAACCTGAAGAATAACAAGTAAGACAATAGTTATTAGCAGAATGCCAAATCTGTCAAAACTCAAAATCAAAGAAAATTATCCTTAAATAGAAAGGGAAAAAAGTGGGGACCTTAATTGCCTCCTGTTGAGAGGGGACTAGGTATACAAGGAAGGGGCTTGTGGTAGATAATTCTTCTTCTTTTCTTGCTATAGTATCTGAAGCCGTCGATACAATCCAAGCAATCTGATCAATGGCAGAATCAGCTTGACTTGTATCCACAATATCTTTCCCATTTGAATAACACTTCCAAAATTCGAACCCCCATGGTAAAGCAAAGAATCGTCTATCCCTCTCATTAACGAAGGCTCCATCATGATTCAGACCATTTTCAATCTGATTCAAACAAGAGATTAAGAATTTCGATGGACAACCATCGTAATCTCTATAAGTATCTTCTTCAGAAACTGTCATGATTGCTACATTTTTAAGTTTAACTGCTTTTCCCGACGTCATTAGCTCATTCTTGAAATGCAGAACTATGGCATTCTGTTCTTGACCCGTAATAGCCTGGGTAAAATTGGAAAGTCCTCCATTATTTAGTCCACGATTTTTCTTGTCAATAAGAATCATGTCTTCCCTACAAGGCTACAAACACAAAAATCAGAAGCAGAGAGGGTCAATAAATAGCATCAGGTATCATGCAAAACATCAAAGGCATATTAATGCAAAAAAATGCACCTGATTTACTTGATATGATATTAATATCGTATCACTACAGATACACGAAAATCAATTTTCATGTCATTGATCGCAATTATAAACAAAATCCAGGCATTTAATTATAAGTATTCAAAATGCAGCAAGAAAAGCTGAAAAGGCATAGCTTCAGCAGATTATTAAGAATTATAAGTTCTTGAGAATTAACGCAGCCATTGTTGGACATTAAAAGTCTAAGCAAGTTACCAGCATTCAGTTGTCTATTGTAAATTCTTGACAACAGTCTGTTAATATCTCTATGAATTCACAATGGGTACACTTAAAATCCAGATTTGCTATCCATAAGTTCATAACATTCCACCTCAAAGCATTAAAAACGAAAGACTTCAGTGATGGATTGCTGGAGGGGGTCACCTCAAAGATGCGGCGTTTGCTGGCGGAATGTCGACGGTTGAGAGAAGCGATGATGGAGATGATTCGATTCGAAAGTGATGCGTATTTCTGCTGAGGAATCGGCGGAGAGATATAAAGGGATGATATGGCGGTTTACAGAGTGATGCTCTTTAGGAAACAACAGAGTACAAGAAAGTATTAGGAAGTGCAAAAGAAAAGAAGGGCCAATTAGGTTTTTTATTCCAGTTAGTCTTGGCGTCCAAGCTGATACGGAGTACATTTTTTTTAAATACGAATTGACATGATAAGAAAAAAAATATTGACAAATTTTTTCCTCTTCTTTAAAAAAAACAAAACACATTTTTTTGAATCCAATGGGAGCCAAATAAATACCAGACCAGCATGGTACTGAACCAAATCGGTATAGTACCAAACCCAAAAACAGGATTTGAAACGGATCTCATTTTTTTGTCCCAACCCTGATCCTACCGGTTCTAAAAAATGTCATGACCGGTTCTCATAAAATGAGAACCGCTACCGGATCGAAGTATTTATAATTAATTAAATTTACATTTATACCATTACTTTGGCTAGTGCCTTCATACTTTCAGCACCTTCGCTAGTTCATAGAAAGTCTGGAACCGAATCGATGTAAGGTTTAATTATTTAAATTAGTACTACTATAGTGGGGACTGCTCAGGTCCCTCCGGAGGGACGGGAGGGACCGTCCGAACTTTACTGTTTGGGACGGTTTCCGGTGGAATTTTTTGATGAATTTTTTTGAGCATGTTCCTCATCAAGTCTAGTTTGTCCATACCAAATTTCAGCGCAAAATTCGACCGGGAAGGCAGTCAAATAAATTCTTGAAACTTACTGCACTTTATATATGCGCAGAATGTGCAGTAAGCTTCAAGAATTTATTTGACTGCCTTCCCGGTCGAATTTTGAGCTGAAATTTGGTATGGACAAACTAGACTTGATGAGGAACATGCTCAAAAAATTTCATCAAAAAATTCCATTGGGAACCGCCCCAAACAGTAAAGTTCGGACGGTCCCTCCCGTCCCTCCGGAGGGACCTGATCTTTTCTGCTACTATAGTTTATCTGGGATTTATTAATTATGTAATACTACCTCAGTTCCAAATTGATTTGCAAAATTAACTTTTGTTGGTTAAATAGTTTCATTTTATTCACTTAATAAGGATGTCAAATTGTAATTATATTTCATTTCGAGTTTGCAACTTTAAAGAGATTTTAATGCAATTTTTGAATATGTAAATTTTAATTGTTAAAAATTGAATTAATAATCGATAAAGAGGACTTAACTTTAACATTGTGAGAAGGATCCAAACAAGAGAAGTTAAAGAGGCTCTGAGGAAGATGGGGCGGAAGAAAGCAGCGGGTCCAGAGATATGATCGAAATTTTTTTCAATTTTCGGATTCTCACTAGACATTACCCCATTCTAATCTCGGCCTCACCAAGGAAAAATAGCAATTTAAAGTTCATTTATTTCAAAGTGAATCCATGCCTACAATGCAATCCTCGAAAGTATCATATTCCTAAAAGATGACTGCTCTTACCCCGTTTGGGGCACAGGAACAGTGCCAAAAATGGCTCCTACACAAATTCCCTAAATTTAACAAATTTGTCCCTTAGTTCCCTAAACATCAAGACTAAGTCAGAAATATTCACGGGTAAGGAAAGACAGGCCATTTGGCTATGAAGCTTAATTAATTGGGGCAAACAGTCAGGCTCAAAATGGCTTCTCCCAAAGGAACTTATTCAGGTCAATGGGAAAATTGTTAATTCATATAATGGGTGACTAATGCCTTCATCCTTTCATCAACTAGATTAATATGCAAGCAAATTAAGCCTAAACACTTCAAAGATGTTGTAAAAGCATAGTCAAGACGTTAGCCAGCTCACAAAGACACAGTTTAAAGAAAAATTTTCAAAAATTTTGACATGAATTTTCTATGAATATACAACTAACACATGCACATGCTAACTCTAATAATCACATGTCACAACTACTGCCCGAATGCCCAATTCACTCCCCCACACTTAAACTTTGGCATCGTCCTCGATGACCAAAAATGCACTATGCACAAGGGGGTAAAGAGGATAGGGTCACACGCGCTCAACTTAACTCAAGTCAAATATTAAAAACAGGCGATTATTAGAGTCATAAAAACTTCCCTTAGGCGCCGGTCGGTGCAGAATTAAACCGAGTTAAGTGATCCTCGGCACATCATCCCCAAAGCAAGACCCTGAGCTGCAAAAACAAAACACACAAACACAAAAACAAACCCAAAAAACACCCCAGTTTTTTTTTGGTTTATTTTTTTCGGGGGTTTTCTGAAAGCAAACAAACAAACAAAAAAAAATGCAGAAATAAGCTTGGGTTGCCTCCCAAGAAGCGCTATTTTTAACGTCGTTTGCCCGACACAACTTCCTCATACGCTCTCAAATAGCAAAGACTGCAGTGGTGCACTAATAATCAATGTCTCCAGCTTCCTCTCAACAAATGCCATTAGGTGTCGCGGATCTTTAAATTCTTCAATCCACGTAGGCAGCATATGGTCTTCATAACCCTCATCAGCGCAGAAGTGAAGTATGAAACTCTTATCCTCTTCAGGTGGATAGGGAACATGAATGAAAACTTTGATTACTCTAGGCATCACCGGAAGCTCAAAACATGTCTCCAAGCAAGGAGTAGGAGCAACACCGTAATCAAACTACACCATAGAAAAATCTTCTTCTTCCTCACAAATATCATGAACATTCACAACCTCTCCTCCGGACTCTGTATCACTCCCCATGAAGGCATCCCAACTCTCGTTAACATCGTTCTTATCAATAACTTCCCGGATGATGTTGTCATTCTCCACATAAAAAGAAATATCATTATCAAGGAGTGAATCAAAGAAGTCCAAATCTGAAACCACGTAAGAGTGGACCGGTGCATGTGTACAAGAGGGGAATTCTTGCTTGTGGATCGGGACTTCTTCATTATGGACATCATCTACCTCGCCCCCACTCTCTTAGAGGGTGTAATCATCTTCTCCTAACTCATCTTCAATACCCAAACCTAGCTCAGTAGCACCATCATCATGACTGATCTTCTCCTTGCCCTCCTCAGGTGTTGAAACTAATGGTAAATCAAACGGCTAGTGAGTTTCTGTATGAAATTCACAGTGATTTGTGACTTCATCCGTTACAGCTTGTGCCGTTACAAACTTTTTCCTATATTCTTCGGAAAACAACTTGACACTATTATCTTCTTCTTCATCTTCAACCATAGGTGGGTCTTCAAAGGCATCGGGAAGTGTATCATTCATCATATTCCGACCATCATAGTCTGACTCGCTCACGTGATCATCCATATTGGTCTCCTCGGATTGGTCTTCTACCAGATGGCTCCTTATGGTATTTATATGCTTCATTATGTTTGAATAACTTTGCTCCATGGTCTCTAGGTGCTCAGACAAAGTCTCTGAAAGTGTCTTCTTGCATTGATTTTGTGGCTCATTACTTGGCAAGGATGTAGGAGTGGTTGAAAGATTTGTGTTTGTGAGTTGTGGGGAAGAAGAAGTGGGGTATGCAGCTGCCCAGTAAGGATGGTCATATGGAGGTTTAACGGGGCAAAAAGATATATGATGACATCCTCCACAGAAGGAACAAATCTTATTCTTAGGCAGACAAGGTTGCGTCGTTGGAGGGTATGAATAAGGGAACTAATAATTTTGCGGTGTAGAAGAGTAATTTTGATGAGGTGTGTAGAATTGAGGAGGAAGAGTGTACGAAGGGCATGGTGCAAATGGTGAATATTCCATGGAGGTTTGAGGGTAAGGGATTCCTCAGGAATTTGGCTGAATGGGTTCATCTCATCCTCTTAAGAACAAGTACCTGAAAGGTTAGCACAGAAATATTCTACGAAGAACTAAAAAAAAACTAACTAAAAAAAATCTCGCTGAAATTAATTAACCCTTAAAACTGACACTGTCCCCGGCAACGGCGCCAAAAACTGATGTGTGTTTTCTAGCACTTAAAAAGATTGTAATATAGTGGTGTAAGTATGAGTATCGTCTCCACAGGGACGGACAAAAGGAAATTAAAGATTAACTAAATTCAGCGATTAAAAAGAAATAAATAAATTAAAATGCGATGTGCGAGATTGGTTGGTTGAATTAAAATTAAAACTAATGCAGATGAGCGATTAAAATAAAAGCTTGGTTTCTTTCTAATTAACGACGAAGGGAACAAGAATTGATTCCGGGGTTAACCAGATTTCTGCCAGAAGAGGCCTAATTAGCGAGCTTACGCCCCCTTAATCGTTACTAATCTCTTAGCGAACGATTAAGTGTGTGTGAATGTGTCCTAGAATAAACTAGATCTCTCTTAATTTATTCTACAACCAATTGTAATTCTAGCCGCGGTTCGAGGTTATAAAAGATATCAGTTAAATTATTCAAACACAAATTAAACGGCATTCATGCAATTAAACCAACAAGAATCTAGCCATACATCATGATTAACCCCTTCATCAACCCCAAATCCCTAATTAAACTACTCACAATTCATAATTGAAGAATCAACAGAATTGGGATGAATAAAATAAATTGTCATTAATTAAAAAGATGAACTTACAAATAATCCCAGGGTCTTAGAGTAAACAATCGTAAAAACGCAAGTAAATTCACCCCTAGGCCTCTTCGTAATGTTCGTCACCCCCAAAAAGGGGTATGGAGGCCTTATTTATAGAAAACAGGTGAGTTTGGGCTGAACTGGGACTAAAAAGGGGATGAAATCCACGTCTCGGGTGTACGCACGATCGTGCGTGGCCTGGTACGCACGATCGTGCGTACATGGCAGTAGCTTCACGGTCGTTTTCGCTCTTACGCACGATCGTGCGTACTTCTACGCACGGTCGTGCGTCCGTGTTTTTTCAGCGTTTTTCTAGTCCGAATTTGACAAAACTTCCTTCATTAAAGTTGTAGATAATGAAGTCCTCTATCTACCCCAATTTTTCGAATGTGATTTCAATCATTCAATCAAGAGATATGATCAAAACAGTGGAAGGTGTCATTCTGAAATCGCAGCAGAGATCATCTGACTTCATCATCTGTTTGCACCTTTCTAATCTCAGATTCTCGGAATGATGTCTTCACATGATTTGTAGCGCTGGAAGTTGTCTTTCATATTCAACTTGAATCGTGT